TTAAAAGCAGTTCATCAAAATTAGCTAATATGTCAACTACATCTGACAGTACATGCAATGTTCCATACCAGGTACCCACCTCTTCAAGGCACAAGAGAATTACATTTTCTTTTCTCTTCTGAGCAACCTCCTTTATTAATGCTTTTAAAAACAAACATTGGAGCTTACAAATGACTTCATGAAACCCCTATCCACCATCATCAAAGAACTCTCCCTTATAATAAAGAAATATATTTAAGCAAAACAAATTGACATGTTGGCCTTATCTAATAAAATATAACTAATATTATATATATAGTCTACTATGTCTTTGTCAGAAAGAATTATATTTTACCATCAGCCCTTTTCAGTCAGACCAGTCATTGCATTAATTACAATTTTCCTGTCTTTCAATAATTTTTCTTTTTATTTAGTAGTCACTAAATTGCTCTTGGTTCAGCTTATTTTGTTCCATAGCAGTTTACACAGGTCTTCCCAAGTTTCTCTGAATTCCTCATATTTGTCATTTCTTATGGCATTCCAACATATTCAGAAGTTACACTTTGTTCAGCTGTCTCAGTTGATTGGCACCCACTTTATTTATTTCCAGTTTTTTATTATCACCAAAGTGCTATTCTCAATATTTCTCTATTTGTGAGGGCAGGTATAATTTAGTGACTTTTCTAATATAGTCCAATCTTAACCTCTTCATTTAAGATGCGGAAAATTCTCAGACAGTTAAGTGACTTGATCAAAGTCACCCAGATAGTAAGAACAGCCAGGATTTGAGCTATCCTAGCCAGCCTGCAGTCTTCTGGGTTATTTGCATAATGCCTGCTCTTGAGACTAAAGATGAAGTGTGCTTCCTACAGACTAAATATGTGAAATGAGCTGCCACTCTCTGACTCCCTGGGATTGCTCCCTCCTGGGTGGTGTCTCCTACAAGATGAGTAGCTCCAAAGCAAATGGTCTTGGGAACTGATGGAGGAGAGGCAGGGAAGAGGGGGAAGAACAAGAGAGAAATCTCCCTTACAGCCCTGCCCCTGCCCCCGTAGGAGTGCAAAGAGAAAGCCAAAGGTTGAACCCCTTGCAAAAGCTAGGTTCTCCCCCACCAGGTGTCTCTCTAGCTTGCCAGAGGTCACATTTCACAAAGCTCTCTGTCCACCATCTCCAGAGATTGAAAACTAGCATTTTAAAGGCCATGGGGGATGTAGCTAATCTTTAGTCAGTTCATTGCAAACTGCCCTCCAATGGCATCAGGGAAATTTTTTCTTCATAGCAGGAAGGAAACACTTCTTTGCACTTTGATTTAAAATATTGACACCTTTAAAAAAAAAAAAAGAAAATATTGACACTATATTCTATTACCCACCCCTCCTGTGATTTTATCACCTGCTATTAGGGAAAACCAAATGACCAGTGATGACCTAAGCAATGTCCCTCCCTACCCAACAGAGAAAGATCAAGTCCACTTCTATTTAGGACTTTGTTTGTTCCCTGATGCATTATATGGTGGACTAGAAAGAAGGTCCCATTTCCTTTTCTCAGGGACAGTTCACTGAGGCATGGGATGTATTATGAGCTGCAGCATTATCACAGGGATAAAAAGGCCACGTACAAGACTAAGTGAAAATGAGAGTGCAATTCCTGCTATTGTAAATAATAGAGCACAACTACACAATTTGGTCCAGGATATAAAGAGAATTTAATTAAATCTTCCCATTGTTGAAGAGGAGGCCTTGAAAAAGCAGAGGGGGAAAGAGGCTGATGAAGGAGAATAAGGTGTGAAGTAAGAATGCTGGGCTGGGCCAATTCAAATTAAGAAATATTCACTGAGATGTCCAGCACTGGGCTAGGCACCATGGGGCTAAAAGGGAAGAAGACATGGTCTCAACATTCAATTCAGAGGACAAGGGTAGGAATGACTGAAGCTTGGCTTAGGCAAGCTAGAAGTCACTAAATGGGTCTATCCCATTAGTGCCTTCTATAGGCAATGCAAGGGATGTTAGTAATGGAGACATGGCCTGGAGAGACAAGTAAATGAGAGGGAAAGATTATAAGAGGAGAGAATTTGGTGAGGGCACAGAACTCAGTGGGAGGACAGGATCTAGTTAAAAGAATAGGGGCCAATGAGAGGGGATAGAAGTCAGTGAGGTCAGTGAGGGATAAAGATCAGTATGAGAAATGGGGCAATGAGAGATAAGAAGCAGGACCATGTCACTCCCCTATACAATAAAATACCTCTAGGATCAAATATAAACTCATCAGTCATTGAAAGCTCTTCATAACACTCCCTTCCTATCTTTCTAGTCTTTTTAGACATTACTCCTCTCCATACACTCTGTGGTCCAGTCATACTGGCCCATTTGCTGTTTTTCACACAGGACACTCCATTTCCCATCTCTGTGACTTTGCACTGACTCCCACACCTACAATACTCTCCCTCTTCCCTTCCCCCTCTTTGCCTCCTTGGCTTTCTTCTATCTAGACAGAACGCTAAACATCCCCTTCTTCAGGAAGTCTTTCCTGGTATCCCAGCTGGTAGAATCTTCCACTCTAAGGTTACCTTGTATCTACTTTATACGAGTCTTGTATATACCTACACATATGCTTGTGTTTTATCCTCATTATTATGGAAACTCTTTGATGGCAGGGACTTTTTCTTTATATCCCCAGTTCTTAGCATAGTGCCTAGTACATTATGAGCACTTAATAAAGGTTTGCTTGATTGAAAGAAGTCTGTGAGAGACACAGGGCATAAGGAGGACAAAATTCAGCAGGGGATCAGAGAATTCAGTAAGGAGACAGAGGATGGGGAGGAGAGGTTAGTAGGAGTCAGGGATAAGGGAGAGGAAAGTTAACAGAGAGGAAAAGAGTCAGAGGAAGGAAGGCCTTTCTTTTTTTATTAATTTATTTTGATTTATCAACAATCACTTTCATAAGTTTTTGAGTTTTAAATTTTTCTCCCCCTCCTCCCTCCCTCCCCAACATGGCTTGAAATCTGATATAGGCTATACATATACATTCCTATTAAACATATTTTCACATTAGTCATGTTATAAGAAAGAATCAGAACCAATAGGAGGAGCCATCAGAAAGAAGAAACAAAACAAAACAGAAGAAAAAAAAAGAGCAAACAATATGCTTTGATCTGAATTCAAACTCCAGTTCTTTCTTTGGATGTGGATAGCATTTTCCATCACAAGACCTTTGGAGATGTCTTAGATCCTTGCATTACTGAGAAGGGATAAGTCTATCAGCGTTAGTCATTGCACAACATGGCTGTTACTGTGTACAACATTCTCCTGGTTCTGCTCAATTCACATAGCATCAGTTCATACAAGTCCTTCCAAGTTTTTCTGAAGTCCAATTACATTCATATACCACAACTTGTTCATTCATTCCCCAATTGATGGGCATTGAGGGAGACCTTTCTCGATTCCCTGAGTTCTTAATGTGCTCCCTCTCCCCCACTTCCACCCCCCAGAATAGCTTTTTATTTACTCTGTATTTTGTATTTACTTATCTCTGTGCATGTTATTTCCCAACCTTTATAGAATATTAGCTCCCAGGGGGCAGGGACTCATCCATTCTCAGACCCTTATTAGCTGTGTAAGTCACTTGACCTCTACCTAACTCATTTTTCTCATTTGTAAAACAGGGATAATAATAATAGCACTTACTTTCCAGAGCTGTGAGATAATACAGGGTGTTCTCGTGTGGTTTTAAGCTTTAGTTAGCTTAAGCTTTTGGGATATCCTATATTAGCATAACTAAAAGTTCTATATAAAGGCTAGCTGCTATTGCTGCTGCTGCTACTACTATCACCACTACCATCTCTAGTAGTAGTAACTACTAGCTACTACTGCTACTACTACTGCCACTACCACCACAACCACCACCACCTCTCCTACTACTACCAACACCATCACTACTACTGCTGCTGCTGCTACTGCTACTACTACTACTACCACTACCACTACCACCGCCACCACCACCACCAATACCATTACTACTTCTGCTGCTGCAGCTTTCTTGTGCCTCTAGTGCTTGGAACGTTTTATTGTTTAGTTTTCTCGGCAAAGATCCTGGAGTGGTTTGCCATTTCCTCCTCCAGCTCATTTTACAGATGAGGAAAATGAGACAAACAGGGTTAAGTGATTTGCCCAGTGTTACACAGCTGGTATCTGAGGTAAAATTTGAACTCAGGAAGATGAACTTTCCTGACTCCAGGCTGGGCATTCTATCCATTGCACCACCTAGCTGCCTCCTTGGTGCTTATTAAAAGTTTGTTAATTGATTGGAGATTGGTTTGGCTGGGATCCCTTCCCTCCTGTCCCCTCCCTGCCCCTTTCTCAGCCCTTCCCCTCCACCCCTTCCTTGCTCTTCTTTCTCTTTCCGTCCTCCTTTCCCCCCTCCCCTCTCTTAGTCTTTTCTCAGCCTCCTCTCTCAAACCTTTCCTCTCTTTTCTCTTCCCCTCATCCCTTCACTTAAACTCTCCTCCCCCTTCCCTCTCTCAGCCCCGCCCCTCTCTCCTTCCTCCTCCCCTTCCCAGCTCCTTTTTTTTCTCCTCCCCCTCCCCTTTATCAGCTCCTCACCTTCTCCCTGCCCCTTCTTCTTCCCCTTTCTCAGTACCCCCTCTCTCAGCCCCTCCTCCCCTTTTTTCAGCCCCCTTCCCCTCCGTCCTTCTCCTTCCCCTACTATAGTGGTCTCTTTTTCCACCCCTCCCCTCTCTCAGCTCCTCCCCTCCTCCTTTTCTCTTCCCCTTTCTCAAGTTCCTCTCCTCTCTCAGTCCCTCCCCTTCCTCAGCCCCGCTCTTCCTCCCTGCCCCCTCCTTTCCCTCAGCCTCCCTGCCTCCTCCCGTCCTTCAGTCCCGCCCTCCTCCCTGCCCCTCCCTTCCCTCAGCTTCCCTGCCTCCTCCCTTCCCTCGGCCCCGCTCTCCTCCCTGCCCCCTCCCTTCCCTCAGCCTCCCTGCCTACTCCCTCTCTTCAGCCCCGCCCCTCCTCCTTGCCCCCGCCCCTCTCCTCAACGGCTGGGCACGCTGTCCCTGCCGCTGTCTGCCGCTTCCCTGGGTCTCCTTCTCGTGCGGCCCCAAAGTTCCGGCCTTAGTGCTGAGGGGGAAGGTTTAAACCGACGGACGCGGTGGCTGGCGATGGACGCGGGGTGAGTCTAGAGAGGGGCGGTGGAGAGCTAGGAGTAGGACCGCTCGGGGCTGAGGAGGTATCCGGAGAGGCGCGGGCGGCGGGGAAAATGTAGCATTAGAGTCCAGGCTCCCCTTCCTCCGGGGCCCCACCGCCCGCAGGCCTCCATCTTTGCTCAGACTCCAGTTCGATCCCCGTGGCCGAGGCGCGGCGGGGCCCCACAGCTTTTGGGCCTCGGCCTGCCCCGCCCCCGGGGCCAACGGCTGTCCCCTTCTCAATGCTCTTCCCCCGCCTACCGCCCCGGTATTGGGGGGGGGAGGCCCCGAGAGTCCTCTGGCGTCCTCTTCTAAGCTGGGAACTCCAGACACACCCTCCCCCACCAGCCCCCTGGCTCTGGTCTACCCTTCTGAAACTACCTTGAGCTGATTTAGAAGGGATCTCCCCACCCTCCCAGCTCCTAAGCCTTAGAAAGGAAGTAAAGGAAGTAAAGGAATCTTGGGTTCTTACCCACACTGACCAGAAAGTTCCAAAGCTTTGCGAATTCTAAATGCAAATGACCATCCGGCCTTCAGTCGACTAGCATTTATTTAGCCAATGCTTTGTGTTAGACCCTGCAAAGACATAAAAGTCAGTCAGCTATCGTTTATTAAGCGCCTGCTATATGCCAGGCATTGTGCTAAGCGCTATGAGGGAGCTTATGAAAGAAATTGTGGCTCTCCTCCTGGAGCTTACATTCTATGGGTGTAGACAACCTTAATTGAAGCTCACTTGGACATTGCGTTCTACTACTGGCCAAGTGATCTCTTTTGATTGCTTCTACACTGTGAGGTGATTACAAGTAAGGTATCATCTCCATTCTCCTGGTGAGAAAAACCAGCTTAAGTAGTTTGAGTGACTTGCTTGCCTTAGGCCTCAAACTGATAATATCACTATCTTAAATGTGAATAATAATACATGATTGACAGCCAAATTGGAAGGCACTTTAAGTTTAATCTGCATTATTAACATTTTCTCCACTTGAGTCTAGACAACAAAACTATATCAAGCAATTTCTGAACTGTGAGTACTAAAACTGAAAAAATAATTTTTAAAACATTCAGACCTGACACTCAATAGAAACATTTAAAAAGTGCTTTACATATTTCATTTGATGCTCACAAAGGTCTTGTGAGATAGGTCAGGTATTACTATTCTCCCTTTTTTTAAACAGATATAACAGGTTCAGAAAAGGTAAAAGGGGGCAGCCAGGTAGTGTAGTGGCTAGAGCACTGGCCCTGAAGTCAGGAGGACCTGAGTTCAAATCCAACCTCAGACCAAACACTTGACACTTACTAGCTGTATGACCCTGGGCAAGTCACTTAACCCCAATTGCCTAAAAAAAAAGAAAAGAAAAGGTAAAAGGCAATGTTATAGTGTGGGAAGAGCCCAAGTTTAAGAGTCAGAGGTCCTGTGTTTTAATCCTGGATCTGCTACTTCCTAGCAGTAGCAGCCTTGGACAAGACCAAGTGTCAGTTTCCTCATCCAAAAAATGATCATGTCTGACTATATGTAAAGTTCTAACTCCTAAGTCACAGGTCGTGAGTGACAGAGCTACTATTTGAACCTATATCTAGTTCATTCAACCATGCCACATTATCTCCCTTCTTGCAACTTTAATACTGCTATAAACATTTTTTTCAGTTATCATCAAAATAAGTATAATGAAGTTATATACAGCCTTTAAATGAAAACTTAGTGTTGAAGCTAAGAAATTTTAGATTAAACTCTTCTTCCCTTTCAGAAGTAGATAATCATAATACCCTTATTTTTTGTTCACTTAAATTCCTTTTGGGCAGCCTAAATTGTGTCCTGGTTCTTAATATTTTGTGTTGATTCTAACTGGTCTTTAGCTAATGTAATATTTTTTCTTTTCAGCATTGGCCACAGATTTGCTATGTGACCTTTGATAAATCAGTTAACCTTACTGAACCTCAATTTTATCATCTGTAAAATGAAAAAGTTGAATTTCTAAAGTTCTTTCCATTTCTGAATTTTTCAGTTTATTGTTTGCCAGAGGAAACTAGACCTAGACTCTGGTGCCATGGAAAGAATGCTGGATTTGGGATCAGAGGATCCAGATTCAGATTTCTTCTCTGTCTCTTTTTCAGTCTTGGCCAACTCTGTGACCCTATTTGGAGTTTTCTTGGCAAAGACACTGGAGTGGTTTGCCATTTCCTTCTCCAGCTCAGTTTGTAAATGAGTAAGCTGAGGCAAACAGGATCAAGTGGCTTGCGACGGTTCACATAACTAGTGTCTGAGGCTGAATTTGAACTCAGGTCTTCCTGACTCCAGGTCTGGCACTCTATCGGCACCACCTAGCTGCCCTTCTGTCTCTTATTCCATTTATCCTCTCTCAGTCTCAGTTTCCTCAGTCTATAAAATTAGGGGATTGGATTAGGTGATCTTGAGTCCCTTCCAGCTCTCAATCTATGATCTTATATTCTTGCTGTGACAGTTGTTTCCTAGACCTATAATAGTCACAATTGTTATTTATAAAATAGCCACCATTTAAGTTTTGCAAAGTGCTGTAGATATATAATCTTGTTTGGTCCTCACAACACCCCTATGAGTTAAAAACTTGTTTTGCCCCTTTTACAGATGAAGAAATAGAGGCTGAGAAAAGGTAAATGACTTGCTCAGAGTCCAATTGCTAGGAAGTGTGTGAGGCAAGATTTGCCCTTTTCTTGATGCCATGCCTACATTCTATCCCTGCGCCATTTAGTGATTCAAAGTTTGCAAAGTGCTTCCAGTATGTGATCTCATTTGTATTGACTCTTGTCAAAATAGTCTTCATATAGGATAAAACAATTTAGAGAAAAGAAAATCAACTCACAGTGACCAACCAAGGAGAGAAACTCTTTAACATTCAAGAAGGTAGGCTTTCCTCACTCAAAAGTATAGCTCTTTATTAATAGTCATAATAAAGATGGAAGAAGGAATTCAGGGAAATACGGAGGAAGGTTTTGTGAAAGCAGGAATCTGACCTATAATGGTAGCTAAAGTAACTTTCTTTCCCTTCTTCCTCCCCCTAGTCCCAAACCCCAACAAAATAAAACTCTCTTTCACTAAGACAGATGTCCTCAAGGTGTTTATTTGATTAAAACAATTGATATTAATAATGTTGAATGTCCAAGATGCTTAAACTTAAACTGGTGTTTTCTCTTCAAAAGGAAGATTTTAAAACTTGTGAATCTCCAACTAGTAAAGTCTGTGGGACTTTCTTTTAAAAATAAGGACATTTTTGTGTTCCTTGCTTAATCTTGTGGTTCTCTTCTTGACATCCCCAAAACTAATGATCCAGATTGTAAAATAAGTTGGGAGTCAGTATTACCTAGCAGCAGGGAGCTTGCATATAATACATCCTTCCTCACCCAGATAAGTAATTCTGCATCAGATAGGACTCAGTAACAACAAAAAGCATCTTAGGGAGAAAGGATAGATGGATGTAGTGAATATTTCAAACCAGAAAAGAAAATTACAGGAATAGAAGTACCATGCATTAGGGTCTAGTTCTGCCTTTAATTAGCCGTGTGACCTCAGACTTCATGCATCTGAGTGGAAGTTTCCTTTTTGAAATAAGGAAGTTGAGGGCAGCTAAGTGGCACAGTGAATAGAACACTGGCCCAGGGGTCAGAAGGACCTGAGTTCAAATCCGGCCTCAGACACATAATACACTCTAGCCGTGTGACTCTGGGCAAGTCACTTAACCCCAATTGCCTCATACTAAAAAAAAAAAAAAGAAAGAAAGAAATAAGGAGGTTGAACTAGGAGATCTCTGAAGTCCCTGCCAGCTCAAAGGTGGGGAGGAGATTGGTCTCTTCCTTCTTTTTGGGGGTGAATGTAGTAGGCAAAACCCCGTGTAAGCTATAATCTAGCAGCAATTATGTCTATCTCTCTAAAACTGAGGAGTGCCCCCAAAACTCTGTGCTGCTAATGGACATTCAGTGCTAATTAGAAGTTGTAGCCTGAGCAGTTTCTCTCCTTCTAAGAATTCCTTAGGAACCTATTGAGGAGCACACTGTTACATTCAGATCTGGGAATTTTTGGCTTTAATGTAGAATTGTAGCTTTCATTTGGTAGTTATCCTTCCTCTGATACCTGATGGAAACATTTTGCTCCTGAAATAAATACATAGCAGGCAGAGAAGGTGATGTTTATTGCTCAGGTTCAATTATCTGCTGTCATCCAGAGGAATGGTAGCAGACCCTAAATAAAGTTGATCCCTTATACATTTTTTGCAATTATTTGTATGTGTGATTATTAGTACTAAGTACTAATACATAAAATAGATATTTGTTGACTACTGACATGTCATACATTGCTGCTTGAGTGCTGCTTGCTAGAATACCGCTGGCCTTTCTCCCTTTCCTCTCCCATTACCCAGCCCTCTTAACCAACTAGAACATGACTCCAGAGTCTTTCCCTTTATCATCCATTCCTACTACTGTAGATACATTTTCTTCTCACTTCTGCTGAGTTCAGCTCCTCATCCATGCCACCTTAGAAGTTGAAAAGGAACTCAGAGGCCAAACAGAAATTTAATCTTACCATAGCCAAGAAGTGGTTATCCAGCCTTTGCTTGAAGAACTCTAGTGAGGAAGAACTCTGCAGACAGCCCCTTCCACTTTTGAACAGCTCTGACGGTTAAGAAGATCTTCTTTACAATTAACCAACATTCTGCAACTTCCACCCATCACTTCCAAGTCTGCTCTTTAGAATCAAATAAAACAAGTCTAATTCCTCTTACACATGGCAGCCCTTTAGATTCTTGAAGAGAGGTATCTTAGCCTACCTTCTTTTTTTTCTGGGTTTATCAATAGATTATACCCTGTTGTTTCACTAACCATCCCCTGACTTCTCAGGTCCAAACAGTCTTCCCTGGCTAACACTCTCTTATATTGCTTCCCCTTATTAGAATATAAGCTTTTTGAGGGTAGGGACTATCTCAATTTAGTATTTGTACTTCCAACACTTAGTACAGTACTTGTCACATAGTAAGCATTTAATAAGTATTTTTTTATTGGTTAGTTCCTTATTCCATGCTAAAAATACCTGTTTAATGTAGTCCTTCTTTATGTGGCATGATCTCAACCATCCTGATTGACTTCCTGGGTACACTCGCCAACTTACTTGCCAATTTGCACAGCTGTCCTTCCCTATGCCAGCCCTTCAGGATTAATTATCTGAAAGACAGCTATATTTACCCCAGTATTGCAGTGAGCCCCCCCCCTTGCCACATTAGGCTTATAGGATTGTTCAAACATACTTTAAAAGTGAACACATACCAAAATAGATAAAATGTAAGACAAATACAAGGTACCAGAGTGTGTGTGTGTGTGTGTGTGTGTGTGTGTGTGTGTGTGTGTGTGTG